CCCCCCCCCCATCTTCTTACAAAGCAAATGAGTTTATTTGCAAGAAATTGGAAGGACCCTTGGTTTGGGCAAAGAAAGCTGCTTTTTAGCACATAGCATTTCTCTTCCCCCCCCCCCAGTGACCTTTTAAAAAAAGGATTTTTAGCTTATCAGGCAAGAATTTTCCAAAGAGCCTCCCCCCTCCTTGTGCTATAAAAACTTAATAAAATTCTGATTCCTACAGCCAGTTTGCTTCTATTGGATTGAAGAGGCATCTGAGACCGTTGGACTACACTTCCCATCCTCCTTGCCTGCATGGCCACCCGGTGGAGGATCATGGGTTCTCCTCCAATCTCAGAAGATGCCCCCTTTTTTTTGCTTCAAAGAAATAACTGCTATTCTGCATTTTATCTAGCACTCCAGCATCAGAAATGTAACTCTTTTAAATATATATATATATATTCTATGTATTCATCCTGAAGCCTTTTTCCTTGTCTGGTGTTCATCTCCTTTGGTTGCAAATCTGATTTATTGCATTACAGCCAGTCAACAGCACCTCCTGTTAGATCCTAACTTGGCTGCTTCTTTTGAAAAGCAATTCCCGTCCCTGATAAATTGTAAACACATCCCAGAAAAGACAGTCAAGGTAGCATTCCCACGTTCTCCTGGCCAAGAAGCAAATTTAGGAAGAACTGGCTGTCTGAATTCCTATTAAAATGCCCTCTCCAAAAAAACAAACAAACCAGATTACAGTTCTCCTTTGCCATTTAATTTTGTTTTTCCAAACATACATTACACTCTGTGCAACACAGAAACATACGAGAAAGAAATAGATTACATAACTCTTCTGTTCCACTTAGCCTAGAAAAGATTTTTTTGTGTAAAAAAAAAAGACCAAACCAGCACAATATATCTCTCCCTTTCTCCCAGATTTCCGTGTCTCAATTGCAACATTATATTCAAATAATATATTTTCTCCCTCCTTTCGCACATACACACAAATGATAATTTTGTTGTTTGCAAAAAGAAAGAAAAAAGGTAACTTTCTGGCTAATAAAAGATAGTTGAACAGCCCAGCTATTCTTTTTCCCAAAGCAATCCTTTTTAACCCCAGACCAGCTGGGATAAAAAAAAATATATAAACATGGCAAAAGTTCTATTCTTTTTTTTTTTTTTTTTAAACATCGACCCATCAGTTAAATTTTTGGAGTGAAAAAAAGATGCTTTTCAGGTAAGTTAAACTAAAGATCCCTTCATCCACTGACAACATTTGCTGGGAATAATGGGCGTTGCAATCCTCCAGCTTTGGAAACCCAAAAGATTTTTAAAAATTGGTAGCCAAACTGCTGTTCCATTTGGAAAGCTTGGTCAAAAGAAGACAAAATGGACATCTTTAATTTTACATCTAGCTGTTTTCCCGCCAGAGAAAAAAGGAAAAAAAAATATCAAACTTTATTGGCTTCTAAAGGTTTCCACTTCGGAACTGACCTGCTTGTAAGGAACACAAGAGACAGAGAGAAAAAAACCTCCCTTTTTACAACCCCGTAATCCCTTAATTTGAGTAGATTGGGCGACTGGATGGAGCTGAAGACACAAAGAGAAAATTTTGTGGGTTTTGTTGCAGTGGGAATCAACTTGGGATTCCCAGGCTCAGCCCAGGGGGCGTCATGCAGACTCTGCAACTCCAGTTTCAGAGAGAGAATAAAGAAATCCCACAGAGAAATCTCCCACAACCTCAGATATCAGGATGCTGAAAAACCTGGAATTTGAAACTTTTTTTTTTCTCCTCCAGGCTGGATCCTCTAAAAGTCTCCTTGAGCGAGAAGGGAAGCATGGGAACGCAGGAGAATCAAACCTGGGGAACAAGTGTTATCGAAACGGCAAGATTTCCACAACGTTGCCTCCACATTTTTTTTATACAAGCCTGGCTGGAGAAGAGACACACACAAGCCATGATCAAACAAAGATGGGACTTTTGGATAAGGGTCCCCACTGAGCCTCTTCCGGACAAAACACGCTCCGTGGGGTACTTTCTCCAGCCGCTTTTTGCACGCTTGCAGAGATGTGGTTTATCCTGGTGGCAATTTTGCCCCCATCTCCCATCTCTCCATCAGCCTGGGTGTGTGTGTGTGTGTGTGTGTGTGTGTGTTTGCTTCAATCCGCAAAGGAAAGGGGGCCCGAGAGCGAATTCTTCCTGGCTGTGGGAGTTTGAGCAATGGAGCCCCTCGGATCATCTCTGGATCCCAACGTCTTTGCCAACCTGCGGGGGGATGGATTTTTCTGGATCCCCATTTGGGCAAAGAGCAGAGGGTTGCAAGGAGAAAAGCCACTTAGAGTCACTTCGAACTGCGAGGCAGGCAGCAAATAAATTGGACAGGTAGACAAAAAAAATGCCAAATCCAGCCTGGACATCCGGCTGAGTACGCGACAAACCATAATAATAATAATAATAATAACAACAAATATCACAAGCACCGAATTGCTGTTGGGTTTTGATCCTGCTTCCTTGAAAGAATCAGCAGTTGCTAGCTGACACCTGGAAGATATTTTAGCACCCCCTGCCTCGGCCTGGGTGTGTGTGTAAGGAATCCAGAATGAGATACGCCAGCATCAGGAGGGATCGTTCTGCAAGATGGCGGCCCCACACCTTAATAGCCTCCAGAATGTCTTGTGTTGCGGCCAGGATACGTCCTGAAGAATAAAATCCAATGGAGAAACGTCTGCAAAAACACCACGAATAATTCAGTCTGTGTGGTGGGTTTATAAAGGAGCCAAAACACACGGAAGTGTCGTGGGTCGATTCTGGGTAAAGGAATCATCCATTCTTTTCAAGGTTGTACCCGTGCAAAATTGTCCCCACTCTGCTCGCCCAGGGGGTGGGTAGCGCTGAGCGAACGACGCCAGAAAGGAACAGTCAACTGGGCATGTGCAGAGTGATGGATGTTGGGGCTGTTGCTCTTACAAAATTTTTTGAAAAAGGATAAGTTACGCGGTGACTAATTCACTCAACGGTTTTTGAGTTTGGCAACCCGTTTCGACAAGACCCAACAGGAAATTCAAGTGAGGCAGAAATGCGCTTCTTTCTTTTTCTCTAAAGGTTATTTTTTGTAATTAATTAGCCTGTAAGAAAAAGAGAGAGAGGAGAATAAACATGAAAGACTTTCTCCCTTTACGCTGGCGATATAATTATGAAAGGGGAAAGCAACAACATTTGAACAAGACTTGTGAGGGAGATGTCCCGAGCACGGTGGTCCTGTGGATTTAAAAGACCGGCTGGACGGGGCCAAAACGGATCCAGGAAATCTTTTAACTTTCTGCCCCAGGGGCCAATGAGTCAATTTTCACTCATTATTTTATTTTATTAAATTTTTACGCCATCCCTTGCAAGGTGATTCTGGCAGCTTAGAAGTTACCAAACAGGTAAAAGTAGTTAAACCGTTAACGCATTAAAACTACACCGATTAAAATGTTAACAGTATTTAAAAAACAAACAAAACTCCCAATTCTTCAGGGGATGCAAACCTCGGCACCATCTTTTGCGGCACCGTTGCAAATAAAGTGGCTAGTCCTCATTGAGCAGTTCCCAACGGGGGAGTGTTTCGGCGTGGCTTTCGCAATTCATTCCACACTTACACGGAAACGGAGGGGGGGGAGGCCCTGCGCGAGGTTATAAAATGTGGGAATTGCTCCAAGGTCTTTCTCGCCCACATTTGGATCTCATTTCCTGGACGGCTCCTGACTGTAGGAAGAGGAGAAGAGAAAAGAAAGGGTGAAGACCCTCCCTCAATGTCTACCATAGCTTTAAACTCCCTGCGCTTAGAAATCTAGCATGTCAGGGAAAAGCACTTTCATCTCAACTGCTAGCTTTCTACCTTCGGGGCATTTCTGATTACAGGTTGTCCTCGACTTAACAATAATTCATTTAGTGACTGTTCGAACTTACAACAGCACTGAAAAAAGTGACTGATGGCTGCTTTTCATGCTTGCAGCTTCCCCGCGGCCGTGCGATCAAAATACGGACGCTTGGCAACTGACTCATACTTATGACGGTCGCAGCGTCCCGGGGGGGTCAAGTAATCCCTTTTGCGGCCTTCCAACAAGCAATGGGGAAGCTGTATTCACTTTACAACCGGGTGGCTGACTTAACTGCAGAGATTCTTTTAACAACTCTGGCCAGCAAGAGCGTAAAAGGGAGCAAAATTCGCTTAACCAGCGTCCCACTTAGCAACAGAAATTGGGGGCTGTCAGTTGTGGTCGTGAATTCAAGGACTACCTGTGCTGTACTCCCCCCGATACACAGCCCCACAAAGCCACCGACCCACCGGATTAGACCACCCAACGGACTCCGTTAAGACTTTGGAAAGTAAATTCCACGAGACCAGAATAGCCAGCCTCCAACCGTGGGCACAAATTAAAGCTGGCATCTTGGCAAACGGAGCTCGTAGCATGTCTGAACTCCGGGATTATAAACATTCCGGCCCTTTGCCAGAGTTTCCGGCTGTTTAATAAGCCAACTCAGCTGCCTAAAGAGATTCCTCCCCCCCTCCCTTTTTTTCCACGTCTCCCCCCCCCCACCCCCAGGACAGCAGCTCTTGAGATTCTTGGATTCCAGAGCCCTGACGGAGAATTTGCGCAACCGTTTGGTGTGTGGGAGGTGATTCCAGGGCAGGGAAGGAAAACCTCTCCACCACCACGTCCTTTTCCAGTTGACGCTGCCGCTGGAGAGTCTCCAAGGCTTAAATTTTAAAAAAGGCAGCGCTTCCCGGGCGGGGGGTCAAATCCTGCACGGAGCCCACCAAAAGCAGGAGAACTGCAGGCAGGCTGAGCCAGCCACGTCACGCAGCGGCAAAACGGGCAAATGCCACGTTTAGGACCGTGCGTGGATCTTTGTGGAGTGGAGGCCATCCTTTCTGAAAGAGGGTTTTTAGACTTCTAGGACTTTTAGACCTGTGGACTTCAACTCCCAGAATTCCCCAGCCAGCCATGGGGAATTCTGGGAGTTGAAGTCCACAGGTTTTAAAAGTTGCCAAGGTTGGACTCCTCCGCTTTCCAGGGGGAACCAGCGCACACCACTCTCCTGTCCCCTCCGCCGAGGATTAAACAACTTAGGCTGAAATAACCCAACCTGGGGTTGCTTGGCAGCCTCGTTTTAATGCCCTCTCTGGGTGGGCTCCCAGGATTTAACAGGGGACCCCCTCCCTGTTTGGCCCTGCTTTGATCTGGAAGAATCCGCGACTTCCCCGGAAGCAAAAACGGGCAGAAGCCGTACCACGGCGGGGAGGCCCTCGTTCACCATGTCGCCGGAACCGATGTGCGTGAGGTGGATGAAATTCATGGGCTCGCCGATCATGCTGCGGTCAATCCGCCGTCTTTTCCTTTGCTGCTGGGGAACATGGGACCGCGGGAGATTTGGTGAGGGGAGGAAGGAGGAAGGGAAGAGCTCGCCAACCCCAGCGAGGACCTCCCTGCCCGCCAGGCGCCATCCCCGGGCTAGGAAACCCAACCCAAGCAGGACTCACCGGCTGCGCCTTCTCCACCACACAGCAGCCCAGTTTGTGCCAAAAATCACTCATGGTGAAAGTGGCTCCCAGCTTTCTGCCCGGTGGGGGCCAACGACCTGCGGACAGGCGATGAGGACCCCCTAGTCCAGCCAGAGACCACACTCGGCCGTGTGGCGGCCTGGGGGTGTTGGGAGCCTGGAGAGACTTCCAGATGGCGAGGAAACAACTTCGGACGCCGATGCTTGGAAACCACCTTTGGAAGAAGTAAAAGGACAACCTCAGAGGACGGGGAGGATGGGTGCGCGGGGGGGGCAGGGAAGGAAAAAGAATGAGGACAACACTGAGTGAAAATTAGGGGAAAGGAAGGAAGGAGGAGGAGGAAAAGCAGAAGAGGGGGAGGAAGGAACAGCATGAAATAAAAAATGGAAGACAGAAGGAGAGAGAGGAAGAAGAAAACAATTACATCAACAACTAGATCTCTTTTCTCGGCCCCGGGTGAAGGTCAGCCCTCTGGACTCAGCGGGGCTGGGATGGTCAAGGAGAGGAGCCAGGAACTGACCGCTCGGCCTCCACACGCCGCAAAGGCCGGACATGCTGCTGCCCAAGTTTGCAAACCGCTTCGGGGAAGGTGCCCCACGGATCCCCCCAGCTTTTCTCTTTCGAAACGCAGCTGACGAGTCACCCTGCGTGGTGCAGACGCGCCTCGGCTTCCTCTCACAAGCCAGGGGGGCGAGGGGGGGCCCTCAAGAGGAGGAATGGTTTTTTTAAACAATCATTTCAGATAACAGGAAACCACAAGGAGTTTCCATAGAAGCAGACTAGAGGCATTTAAAAAAAAAAATTGCACAAACACAAACTGCACAAAGCCTCCACTTCCTCCTTGCGAAATAACCTTGCCCGGAAAGCCCTTGGAGGTCACCTGTTCACACCTTTCTTTTTTGTGTGTGTGTGTGTGAAAGTGACGACAACCTTTTGGGAAGTTCAGTTGCAAGAGATCTGGAAAGACAAGCCCCGCCTGCTTAGGCTGCTAAGATTGGAGGGGCCCCTGAAGGACATGAAGACTGACCCTCCCCGCTCGAGAAACGGACACACGTGACTTTGGGGGACCCCACGAGACACGTCCACGTTTTCCTAGCAGCAACACCGAGGTGGCTGGTCAACACCTTCTCCCAAAATCCTTCCAGCCCTGAGGTTCCTGGTGGTCTCCCATCCAACCCTGCTTGGGGCTTCCCAAGAGTAGCTGCCACCCTTCCTGGGGTCCTGAGCCAAAGGGAAGACCCTCAAAACAAGAGTTAAATGCTGGGATTTTTCTGCCTTTGGGGGATTTTTTTTTTTTTTGAAAGAAAAAAAGGAAACAAAAGGGGGAATTGGTTTGGCAGAAAGAGCAGGAGAGGAGAGACCGGGCATCTTCCCGCAGAGAGCAAAATCTGATTTTTGCACGATGTGGGCTGGCCTGCTGCCAGCTCCCAGCCGTAGCCTGCGAGACCCCCGCCAGAGGTGAGAGGCATGACGGGCACAAGGATTCAGGCTGGGGCCAGACAGATACCCGGCCAGAAAAAATGACTCAGCGAACCGACGGACGGCTGGGCTGCTGGGGGGGGGGCAGAGGTGGAAGAGGGTTTTGCAAAGACTCTCACGTCATTACGGCCTTCCCGGGTATCTCTAGCAAACAAGGTCAATGGGGACACTGGATTCGCTTTAGGACGCTGTGTCTCACTTATCAACCACCGCCGAAAGTTCATCGAGAATGTCCTTGTGACATGCTTTTTGAAACTTTTTGCCAAGTCAGGGGTCTGCAACCTTGACCACTTTAAGACTTGTGGACTTCAGCTCCCAGAATTTGGGTCCCCTGATCTCAGCGATGCGGCGACCGTCGTTAAGTGTGAAAAAAGGCCCTACGTCCCTTTTTTTTTCAGTGCTGAACGGCCACCAAATGGACTGTTGTGTAAGCCGAGGACTGTAAGAGAGAAAGAAGCAACGAGCCTGGAAGAAACCAGCCCAATAAGGAATCTGGACGGGGCAGGGAAGGCTGTCCGCCTTGCACACGCTTGTGTAAATTGGCGTGGCTTCGCAGCGTCTTTTCTCCGCGTTGCAGTAGGAGCAAAACAACCGTTCTGAGCATTTGGGGCAAGACCCAGCCTGCCCCAGACGTCGTCGGTGGAGGAACGATGCAGCTTGACTCAGCCCTGACTCAGCTGGGCCAGCTGGAACCTCCGAGAAAGCAGGAAAAAGCGGAGAGGACATTCCCACAACTTTCCCACCCTGCAGCCGGAGAGGGGAAGAGGACCCGGGCCCCCCAAGTGCACGGAGGGGAGGGGGCTTGCCATGTGCCGCTGACACAACTTGAGGGCCGAAGATCGCTTGCTTCGATGAATGAATGAGCGTGGAAGAAGAGGGTGCCTTCCTGCAACTGGGGATTTGGACTACAGGTCCCATCCTCCCCACGCAGGGCCGGATGTGAAGAGGATCTGGGATGGCCCTGCCTTTGTGAGAAAAAGTGACTTGCTCTCATTTTCTGGGGTGTTTTTGCAACTTCCTAGTCTACTTTCCTGCCCCAGCCTCTCCTGGTGGTGTCCTTTCCACCTACCACTTTGCTCCGACTTCCAAAGTCTTCAGGACGCAGCTCCACAGAGGTCTTGCCTTTATCTTCTTCCACCAATTTTGTTTTTTTTTCCATAAAAACATCTTCCTCTAGACTTTGCATGTCCTCGAAACAGAGGCCACCAAGCAAAATCTTCCTGGTGTTTTGCATAGGGCGGCCGATCAGCTGCCCACACGGGACGTGTTCAAACTCACGGCGGGCCTCTGGGCGCAGCGCACATCTGCCAGCAGCTGGCCTTGGGAAGGGAGCCGCCGTGACCAGCCAACCTTGCAAAAATGTGCAGGCCGTTTCGAAAGGAAGTGACGGTGTCCTGTGTGCAGCCGGAGAAGGCTGCGATTTTAGTCAGGTCTGTGGCCTCTTCGCCTCACGAGGGCTAGAAATGTGAAGGACTTTTGGCTGGGCAAATTAAAACAGGTGGGTTTGGGGGGCACCGGTGGCCGCCTGCAAATCGTTTTCGAAAGGACGACTTATCCCGTCACGCTGGGATAAAACGCCCCACTCTTGACCCACTGTTTTCAGCTTGCAACTCGTATTTCAATGCCCAATCTGAAGGGGCAGGAAAAATCAGAGTTAATTATTTACCGAGCAGACATCCAGAAAATGTAAAATTTCTGCCAGGTGAATTCCAGTGTTTCCTAACCACCGTGATTCACCAGAGCCAGTTCTGAGAATATTCTCGACAACAGCCTAAAAAAAGTTGGCCACAACTGCCTTTTGTGATGTTTTTTACAGCTTCCAGGTCTATGCCACGACCGGGGCATCTCCTGGTGGTCTCCCATCCTCGTTCAGGTTCCACCCTCAAGTTTCCTTGAAAGCTGTTGCTACCAAGCCGTCCGGTTGATAAATCCGTTTCCCTTTTTCAAAAACTGGCTCTTGGAGGCGTTTTGCAAAAACAGACTCTCCTTCACCCCGCTTCTCCAAGCCGGTGCTCCCGAACAACCGATGGGGACGATGGGAACTGGAGTGCGCTAGGAATGCCGGCACAAAGCAACTTCTCAGCAACGGTCCCAAGAAAACGGGATGGACGGAGGAAGCCGGGGACGAGAAGTGAGGTTTTGTGTCTTCTCCAGGCCACGAATCCGCCGTGGCTTTGGTGGGCTGCCACTCTCAGCCTGGCGGTGCCACCCGGGCTCAGGGGATGGGCAGCGGCAGTCAGATGCCAAAGCCTGCCCCGGGACGGATGAGACGTATTCCCTTTGCGACGTGAGAAGATGCTCTGGAGGGCACCAAGGCTTGGAGTGACAACATTTCCCTGGAATTGCTCCGGAAAAAATATATATATCGCGGGCAATGTAGGCTTTTTCTGGTGCTCCTGAGGCAGCTTCCTTCCCCAGTAGCAAAGTCTGGGGTTATTTTTTCCCTCCGGCCGGCCCGCTGGCGTTAATTGTTTCCCCGAGATTTATAGGCTGTTTTCCCAGACCCATTGTGAGCGGCAGGCTCCCTTCCGAAGGCCGTTTTTTTCCCACGGGCCGGACGCCAATTCCAAGGCCTGCAAACGGAGGCGGCAGGAAGCCTTCCGCTACACAGAGAACCTCCATGTCAGGAGAGAGTCCACCTGCAAATCACAATATTTATTGTGATTTTTATTATTGCCTGTTCACCGCCCTGAGTCCCGTAAGGGAGATAGGGCGGTATATAAATTTAAATAATTAATAAATAAATAAATAAATAAATGCCACCAGCCTTTGCCTCTTCGCTTGCTGGCGGGGAACCAAGGCCCAAAGAGAAATCCAGAGGGATTTTCTGTCCCAGCTGGAAAAATCTCTCAGGCCCGTTCCGTCAGACCTGGCCATCTCCAAGCCTTGGAGAACCACCATCCCAGGCCAATGTCACCCCCCTTTTTTTTTTCCTCTCCAATGATTCAAACCAGGCTGATTTTTCTGCCGGCCGGCCGGTGGCATCCAGCATGGAGAGGCCGAGCTCCCGTTGGCTCCTCCAGCCAGGAAGCGCCCAGCCTCCCCCCTGGCTCAGCTCATTGTGCAGAACAAAAGGACCCTTTGTTGCAAGCGCAAGCGGGAGCGGGGAGGAAGATCCGCGGCGGCTCCGAAGGAAAAAGGCCTTGAATCCCATCTGGGGAGCGGGGAGAATTTCCTCCGTGCAGAGAAGAAAGGATTGGCGGCCGTCTGGTCCTCCCAGCGGCCGGCCGGCCAAGTCATCTTTGCCCCCTGGTGATGTCACGGGCGCAGCCATCTTTCCTCACCGGCTCTAGAGAAGCACTTTGCTCTCCTAGACGTTTTCTGGCTAAATGTTGGGTTTCCTGGGAGTCCCCATCCCAGCGCAAACCAGGTCTGACTTTGGCTTATAAGCTAAGGAGAAGGACTCAGCCAGCCGTTGGCTAGGACTGCCCAACACGCTAAGCTAGAATTCACGGTTTGTAAGTCAAGGTTGTTGTTGGGGGTAGCAGATTGGAGGAGGAAGGAGGATTAGATACGCTGGCCACCTTGAGTTATTCACAAACTTAATCAAGATTTGGGAAATGCCAAGGATACGTTGTTAAAAATTCTGTTTCAAATTGTTGCTCAAAGCGGATTTCGAATACACAAATAAAAAATTAGTAGCCATGCCAGTCATAACAATGAACAAAAGCTTCCTGTCTAGAAGGATGGTCTCTTGAGACAGGCCACGGCTTGCAGCAGAGAATATGCTGAAGTTTGCAGTGGAGACCCCCTGAGCCCTTGCACACCCATGTTACACACATGTTACACACATGTAAAAGAGGACACCTCCACGCCTGCGGGTTTAGGTTTGACTGTGCAGAGAAAGGCAGGGCAGTTCGACCATTTGGGAAGATTTCCTTGCAAAATATCCACTAAGATCTCAACACACACACACACAAACACAAACACACAACACCAATGACGACATTGGTGGTGGGGGGAAAATCACATTGCCCCCTTTTGGACTCTGAACCTGTCACTGCGAAGGTTCTCCTTTCCAGCGCCAGTTTCTTTTTTAAAATCTATTCTTTCGAAAATCAAAATTTCTCGGGATAATTTCCCCGCCGCTGCCCCTCCCCCCAAGAAGGCAGGAAATGCTTTCTAGATGTTTTCTATATATGTATTTTTTTTAAAGTTTGATTTTTGCACAACTCAGGAGCACTGCAGGTGCGTCCAGCCTTCCTCCAAAGGAGTCTGCAGCTGGAGAGAAGCCCGGTTGAGGGGCCGACGGGGGCGGTGAGTGGGTGGGCTGCCGAAGGAGGCCTGTGTGGCCCTGAACACTTCCAGCCCAGCGGTTCCCTCTCTTGAAGTTGCCTGAACAATGGGGCTGCTTCTGAGTCAGGGCCGTAAAAGGAAATGCAGAGGGGTGGAGGGGGGAACACAAGGGTTAAACAGAACATTAAACTTTCTTAGGAGAGTTTTGCAAGACTCTTTCCAAGAAAGGGGAAAGACAGATGTTTGGGGGAAGGAGAGGGGGACGGGCTGGGGGGGGTCTGGATACGCTCCCCTGGGTCCTTGCTAAAATAACAGAACAATGCACAAATCATAATTGCAATCAAGAGGTTGCATTCACCACCTCTGCCATGCCATAGCTCGAAAGAAACCGGAGAACCAAAGTGGGTGGGTGCTTGACTTCCCCAACTTGAGGGTCTCCTGGAGGACCACAGGGCCCATCTCTCCACCCGCTGGGCCCGAGTCCTCCCTGTGCTTTCCCAGCCGTTTAGAACCAGCCATAAGGGAGGGAAAAATGGGATTTTTTACATTCAGCCAGCCTCTTGGAAATCCCTGTGACACAACATCAGCCCCCATCAAGCTAACCTCGGTGGGGTGTCAAATAAGCTTTTTGTGCATAATTAGTCTAAAAGTGTGTGCAACGGTGGCAGCACGACCCTTCGCACCTTTTTCACAGGTCTTTGGCTTTCGGGCTCAAAAACCCCGGTACTTTCGCAAAGAGTTTGGTACGACCCAAAGTAACCCGGTTTCACGGTCACCGGGGTCGACCACCCGTTGTGCCCTCTCCCTTTAAGTTCGTACGAAACTTTTTAGTGGTGGTGGGGGGGGGGGAGAGAAACAGCCCCATTCCCGGCCTTTTCCTATCTCCCCATTTCGTCAGTTGGGAGATTCGAACCGTTTTTTTTCTCCTCCCCAAGGTGTCACAGTTTTAAAAAAACAAAAAACTTTAGATCTTTGAAAGGCAACAGAGTCCCAAATGAATAGGGCCTTTCTTCCCCACTGGAGGAAGAAGAAATTAAACGCCTGAATCAATCGGACTTTCTTTCTTTCTTTCTTTCTTTCTTTCTTTCTTTCTTTCTTTCTTTCTTTCTTTCTTTCTTCTCTCTCTCTTTTCTTTCTTTCTTTCTTTCTTTCTTTCTTTCTTTCTTTCTTTCTTTCTTTCTTTCTTTTCCTTCCTTCCTTCCTTCAAAAGTGCCAGTCTGGGGAAAGAAGCCATTCCAAAGCCAAAAAGGACCCTGTTTTTCTAAAGGGAATTAAAATCGTCTTTTTTTCCCCCTTCCCGTGCCTGTCTCGCAAAACGTGTTTGTCCAAAGAGGCGAGGGTGGGAAGGAGGGTCGGGAGAAGCCTCAGGTGCGGAAGAAAGAAAGAGCGACTCACCTGAACTTTCCAAAGAGAAAGAGAAAGAGAGGAAGGAAACTTTGGGGGGGGGGGGTCCGGAAGAGTTTCGCGCAAAGTTTTGAAGAGCTTGGAAGCCCCGGAGAAGGCGGCTAGAACAGCCAGCCAGGGTCTCCCTGCCCACCAGGCCGGCCCCCGGCTGGTCCCGAGGCCCAGAGCGCCCTTCTCCCCTTACCTGCCCTGCTGGGGGTCCCGGGACGGTCCCTTCTCCTCCGAGCGCCACAGCAAACCCACATGGAAAGTCCTCTCTCCGTGGGAAAGGAGGCTCCGCTCGGCTCCTCCGCCCTCCTGCTGCCGCGGGTAGAAGGAGGAGGAAACGCTCCGGAGGATTTCAACAGGCAGACCGAGGAACACCGCCTCTCCCCCCCCCCCCCCCGCGATGATTCAACCCACACCCGTCTCCGGACTGGCGGGAGCGGCTGCTGCCAACTCTGGCAGGCTCTGGGCACTGCAGCCCCAGCAGAAGTGGGAGGTTCTGGGGGGGCTGGGGGTGCCCACCCTTGCTGCTGCTGTGTGTGTGTGTGTGGGGGGGGTTATACTGGCTTGGCGCAGTGGCCGGCCCCTCTACGAAAGGTGGCTTTGGGGGCAGAGGGTTACTGCGGCTGCCATCCCCAGGTGGAGGTTTTTAAGAAGAGACTGGACAGCTCTTGGTCTGGAATGGTGTAGGGTGTCCTGCCTGAGCAGGGGGTTGGACTAGAGGACCTCCAGGGTCCCCTCCGAGTCTGTTACTCTGTTATTCAGTCTCTTGGTCTGGAATGGTGCAGGGTCTCCTGCCTGAGCAGGGGGTTGGACTAGATTTACCTCCAGGGTCCCCTCCGACTTTGTTATTCAGTCTCTTTGTCTGGAATGGTGCAGGGTCTCCTGCCTGAGCAGGGGGTTGGACTAGAGGACCTCCAGGGTCCCCCCCCGACTCTGTTATTCAGTCTCTTTGTCTGGAATGGTGCAGGGTCTCCTGCCTGAGCAGGGGGTTGGACTAGAGGACCTCCAGGACCCCCCCCCCCGACTCTGTTATTCAGTCTCTTTGTCTGGAATGGTGCAGGGTNCACGTATTAATCAGATTTTCACACACGTTGCCACCGTCGTGCTGGGAAGCGTGGAAAAAGTGTCCAGAAACCGAAAGCCCGAGTTTTTGGGGCCATGAAAGCGTTTCTCAAACCATGCTGGGTTTCATTGGGCCAAAGTGCCAGTGGCCCCAGCTGGTGGGCAACACGGGAGAGGGAAATTCAAGCATGCTTTGAAAAAGTGGTGGTGGGGGGGGGGGAGAGAAACAGCCCCATTCCCGGCCTTTTCCTATCTCCCCATTTCGTCAGTTGGGAGATTCGAACCGTTTTTTTTCTCCTCCCCAAGGTGTCAGAGTTTTAAAAAAACAAAAAACTTTAGATCTTTGAAAGGCAACAGAGTCCCAAATGAATAGGGCCTTTCTTCCCCACTGGAGGAAGAAGAAATTAAACGCCTGAATCAATCGGACTCTTTCTTTCTTTCTTTCTTTCTTTCTTTCTTTCTTTCTTTCTTCTCTCTCTCTCTTTTCTTTCTTTCTTTCTTTCTTTCTTTCTTTCTTTCTTTCTTTCTTTTCCTTCCTTCCTTCCTTCAAAAGTGCCAGTCTGGGGAAAGAAGCCATTCCAAAGCCAAAAAGGACCCTGTTTTTCTAAAGGGAATTAAAATCGCCTTTTTTTCCCCCTTCCCGTGCCTGTCTCGCAAAACGTGTTTGTCCAAAGAGGCGAGGGTGGGAAGGAGGGTCGGGAGAAGCCTCAGGTGCGGAAGAAAGAAAGAGCGACTCACCTGAACTTTCCAAAGAGAAAGAGAGGAAGGAAACTTTGGGGGGGGGGGTGTCCGGAAGAGTTTCGCGCAAAGTTTTGAAGAGCTTGGAAGCCCCGGAGAAGGCGGCTAGAACAGCCAGCCAGGGTCTCCCTGCCCACCAGGCCGGCCCCCGGCCGGTCCCGAGGCCCAGAGCGCCCTTCTCCCCTTACCTGCCCTGCTGGGGGTCCCGGGACGGTCCCTTCTCCTCCGAGCGCCACAGCAAACCCACATGGAAAGTCCTCTCTCCGTGGGAAAGGAGGCTCCGCTCGGCTCCTCCGCCCTCCTGCTGCCGCGGGTAGAAGGAGGAGGAAACGCTCCGGAGGATTTCAACAGGCAGACCGAGGAACACCACCTCCCCCCCCCCCCCCGCGATGATTCAACCCACACCCGTCTCCGGACTCGCGGGAGCGGCTGCTGCCAACTCTGGCAGGCTCGGGGCACTGCAGCCCCAGCAGGAGTGGGAGGTTCTGGGGGGGCTGGGGGTGCCCACCCTTGCTGCTGCTGCTGCTGTGTGTGTGTGTGTGGGGGGGGGTTATACTGGCTTGGCGCAGTGGCCGGCCCCTCTACGAAAGGTGGCTTTGGGGGCAGAGGGTTACTGCGGCTGCCATCCCCAGGTGGAGGTTTTTAAGAAGAGACTGGACAGCTCTTGGTCTGGAATGGTGTAGGGTGTCCTGCCTGAGCAGGGGGTTGGACTAGAAGACCTCCAGGGTCCCCTCCAACTGTGTTATTCAGTCTCTTTGTCTGGAATGGTGCAGGGTGTCCTGCCTGAGCAGGGGGTTGGACTAGAGGACCTCCAGGGTCCCCTCCGACTGTGTTGTTCTGTTATTCAGTCTTTTCGTCTGGAATGGTACAGGGTCTCCTGCCTGAGCAGGGGGTTGGACTAGAGGACCTCCAGGGTCCCCTCCGAGTCTGTTACTCTGTTATTCAGTCTCTTTGTCTGGAATGGTGCAGGGTCTCCTGCCTGAGCAGGGGGTTGGACTAGATGACCTCCAGGGTCCCCTCCGAGTCTGTTACTCTGTTATTCAGTCTCTTGGTCTGGAATGGTGCAGGGTCTCCTGCCTGAGCAGGGGGTTGGGCTAGAGGACCTCCAGGGTCCCCCTCCGACTCTGTTATTCAGTCTCTTTGTCTGGAATGGTGCAGGGTCTCCTGCCTGAGCAGGGGGTTGGACTAGAGGACCTCCAGGATCCCTTCCAACTCTCTTAACCTATCAGATGCAGCCTAATCAGGCTAATTTTTCAGAACCAGGACTGACCAGGCTTCAGCTGCCTGGGACTCAGATTGGCAGGTGACCCCCCCTCCCCTCCCCTCGTGGGAGAGGGGAAACCAGCTGCCCACCCTCCTTTCCCCAACCTCTCCCCCCCCACTCTGTTTCTCAGAAGCCAGAGCAATCCATGCCTCCTTCCCTAGAGACCTCACCCCCCCCCAGGTCCCTCTTGTGCAAAACACACAGCTCAGAAGTGCCCACCCTCCAAGCCACACACACACACACACACACACACACATACACACTGTGCCCACCCTCCTGCCTTCCTCCAAAGCTCCCTGGAAATAGCCCTCCTAGCTAATCCATTGGCTCGGCAGCTGATGGGGAGGGGGGGGGAAAGGACCCACCCACCAGTGAAATCTCTTTCCAGGAGGGGCTGCATTGCAGCAAGAAAGGAGGGGAGACGGACACGCCTGGCATCCCCCCCCCCCCCCCCGCCCAGCCAAAGGCAGACAGAGGCAGCTTCCCGGCAGCCCAGCAGCATCTTCTGCACCAAGAGACAGAGAGACACCATCGGGGCTCTTCCCCCAAATCCTGCTGACAAGGAGGTAAGACTGGGGAGCAGCACACACACACACACACACACAAAGGCTTGGGTGAGAGGCTGGGCGGGCAGGGCGAGACGAGGCATCCTTATTATTTATCTATTCCACCTTAGAAGGGTTGAGTTGCTCAAAAGCCCCCAGCATCAGCTATTTTATTATACCACCTAGATACAGGATGTTGTGTTATATTTATTTCTATTGCCAGGAAACCTTGGGGTAATGGGGTATTTCTGTCCAGGAACAAGCGATGCCGTATTAAATTTATTTCTAGGTTATTCCCAGTCAGCAAACCGTGGCCTAATGTGATTTTATATGATGTAATATTGAATATTAGATTGTATTATATTATACTAGTACATGATGCTATCTATCTATCTATCTATCCATCCATCCATCCATCCCTGTCTCTGTCTGTCTATATCTGTGTCTGTCTGTCTGTCCATATCTATCTATCTATCTATCTATCTATCTATCTATCTATCTATCTATCTATCTATCTATCTATCTATCTATCTATCTATCCATCCATCCATTCATTCATCCCTGTCTCTGTCTGTCTATATCTGTGTCTGTCTGTCTGTCTGTCCATATCTATCTATCTATCTATCTATCTATCTATCTATCTATCTATCTATCTATCTATCTATCTATCTATCTATCTATCATCTATCTATCTATCTATCTATCTATCTATCTATCTATTCATCCATCCATCATCTTCCTTTCTAAGTTACTATAGATTCAGAAAATCCTGACACAATGCAATATATAATTTCATTTCATTTTCCTATTTCTTAGCAGCCTTACAGCTGACGCCCTGGTTAAAAAAAAAAAAAGCCAGTTTCTTCCATCTTAACAATTTCAGAGGGCTGGACTATAAATAAATCTGATGGAGACATGAGCCCCTTAATACACCTCTTTAAACCCCAAATCTCAGTCCTTTTAACAGGTGCCTTGCATACACCTTGCCTTATTTTTTCTCTCTAAAATCAGTGGGGGGAACTCGGTCCCACCTTCCCCCAAGGGAGAGGGGATTTAAAATGTTAGCCATTCCCCGTCTCTTTCCTGTTTCACGCCTGCCTTTTAATATTGCCGAGTCATTCAGCCATCTCTCTGCCGCCAGGAGGGGTTAAATAATTCTCCGAAAATGTTTCCAGCGCACAAATAGAGGAATGCAAATATATCCCCCTCCGTACAGACCGCTAAAGATGCTATATTTAAAGAGGACAGATGTCTGGGTAATGTCATACACGCCACCGAGCTCCTCGTTCACAGCCTGACCATCCTGGGTAAAAGAAGCCCAGCCTAGATGGTTCACAGCAGCTTGGAAAAAATCTTCATTTAAGGCCCGAGGATGGCTGAGCGTTTTAAAAGGCTTTTGCTGAGGAAGGGAAGAGGGAGGGGGCAGAGATGGCGGCGGGGAGGGGTCCCTTGGGGAATTGGCAAAAAAGGGGGAACCAGACTGACAAAGCCACCCCCCCCAAAGAAAGAGACCTATATGGGGGGGGTGTACGCACGTGCAAGGGAAGAGGAAAAGGGGGGGGAAGCATCTTTTTTAATATTTTCCTCACCGACGACTAAAATCCTGTGAGAACAAAAGAAAGACTGTTTTATTTAATGCAAATTTCAATCCTGACTTTCCTCTAAAGGGGCAAAATAGTTTTGCCTCCACAGCAACCCTGTGAGGTAGACCACTTGGCCACTAAGCTGAAGGGAGATCCCAACCTGGTTCTCCCTGGTGGTTTTTCCTCCCAGGGGGAGGACTCCCTGTATTACCATTAAAATCTCAAAAAAAAAAAAAAACCATTTTAAAGCAATAACGCCGCCTCCTTCCTGCTTTTCCTCCCCCCAGGAAGAAATGAGGGACACCGTGAATTCCCAGTATGGTTCCTTCCTTTACTGGCGAATGCCCATTCCTGAACTGGATGTCTCCGAACTGGAGTGTCTGGGACTGGCCGACCTGGCCCTCTTCAAGCCCAAACGGGGCTACGGCAGCTTGGTGTCCGAGCAGAAGACCCCGAGGCCCAGTCTGGGGGGCCCGGAAGAGGCAGAGAGCGCCCTGCTCCCGTTCAGCAGTTTTAACTTCTGGAGACCCCCCATCGCCAGCATCAACCCGGGAGATTTTGACCTCATCTGAAGCCCAGCCGTGGGATGGAAGCCACTAATTTTTTTTATTACACCCCCACCCCCCACTGCAGTCTTCCCCGTGGGGTTTTCTCCCTCCCCTCCAAACTCCTCTGTGGTTCCTCTGTGCCGTGTTTGCGCTTTCCCGAGCTGATGCTTCTGAATCCTTTGCCATAAAACAAAACTGACTGTTCACCTTGGTTTGAATGTATTTGCCAAAAGACTGTGTCTCTCCCCCCTCTTGTTCCCCCCCCTCCCGATCTGCCAGACTAGGAGAAGGAATTGCCCCCCACAAAAAAAATATTCCTCCTTTCTCTGCACGTAGGGCTGATCAGCCACTGGGGTTAGCAACTGGCGGCTTTGTGCCTCAATCCGGCCTGCAAAGATTTGGCCCATTCAGTTATTATTATTTTCCTTTGACTGGAAATCTCCTGCCAGCAGGGAAAGCGTAAGTTTTGCTTTAAAATAACCCCAAATTGTTTACTTGAGTGGGTGTAGGTTTTGTAGAACCTTCCCTAATTTTTCTTGGAAGAGGAAGGAAACGGCAGAGAAAAGGAGGAATTAAAATAGAAGAAAACAGGAATGTCCCTGTGATGGGGCAAAGAAAGAGATCCGATTGAAATAAAAAAGCAAGCTTTTTATGGCGGTGGGGTGGGGGGAAGTGTCTGGTATTCTTTTCACAAGGATCTGAAGGATAGCAAAGAGGGGTCACCCCCATCTGCGGGTTCCCTCACTTTCACAGCTGGCGGGCCCAATGCTGGTCTGGAGCCTAAAACATCTGGAGTTGGGGAAAAGGGGCTTTTCTAAAAGGCGAGTCTTGGAAGGGAGAACCGTTTATATCTTCCGTAAAAGGGGGAAATGAAAAAGGGGCTGATGGGTGTGAAACTCGGGCTGCAGGGATGAGTTGGGAGGCCGATGGTGCTTTATTCGCTCCCTTCTCCAGAGAGAAGTCGAACCGTAAACGGACACGGTTCACACACACCCCATTCCTCTCTTGAGCGATTACTCCAAATTCAGCCCCGTTTTAAAACCAGGAGCACCAAAAAGAGGCAACGGTGATGCTCCTGGCCGCCGATCCAGCCACCAAGGGTGGGTTCCCGTGGGAACAAAGAGCCCCCAGGGTCGCACCCACGATCTGGCTCCAGGAGGGTCCTTCGGGTCTCAAGTACACGCGTGTCAGGGCGGTTCATCCGTGCATTCACATCCTCCAGGGTCGGCATCTTGGGCGTGTTGCCCTTGGGAGGGGTTGGTGCCCACCTGGGCTTTGCAGGGGAGGGGGAGGGAAGGGCTGCTGCCCAGATGGAGATGTGTCGGGCACTCCTGGGTGGGGTGTGGGGTGGGGGGCGGTTGGGGAGCATGGGTGCGGTGGTCCAAACCCTTTGAAAAGGGCTCAGCTCTGAAAAGGCTCTCCTCCAGCGGGGCATCTCTGATCTAACGCTGCAGTTCACAGGGCTGGGGATGATGGGAGTCATAGTCCAGTGCTTTGGAGGCAAAGGGGTCTTCTTATAATCAACACACACACACACATATACACATACACACACCCAGAGATGGAAATTTCGCTGCAGTTCACAGGGCTGGGGATGATGGGAGTCATGGTCCAGTGCTTTGGGGACAAAGGGAGCTTCTTATAATCAACACACACACACACATACACATAACACACACCCAGAGATGGAAATTTTATATAATTCCGGGCTCTATGGGCGATTCCAGAGGAGACGCCTGATCATAGAGACGCCGAAGGAGGGAGCGCCTTTTTTCAGGGAGCGGCCTCGCCCTACCATAGAGAGGCGGGGCAGAGCGTCCTCACCCGCGCCCAAGCGACTTCCTTTCCGCTGCCGGAAGAGCGAGACTGTGTGTGTGTCACACCCTAAAGGTTCCCCCATCAGGGAGCGATACTTCTGGGCCTACCATTTTTCTCGCGGTTGGGGGAGCGGCTTGTCGGTTTAAAAAAAAAAAAGGCCCCTCTTATCGCAGCCCCATCATCCTGAGCGCGAAACAGGCTGACCCGGCCACGAGGAGAGTTTCCCCCCACCACCACCGCCGCCTCGCAGAGTGAGTCCGGGTCTGGGGGGGGGAGAGAGGATTAAAGGGGTCTGGAGAAAAAAAAGGACCCTTCCCCGCGAAGGTTGGACTACAACGCCCATCCTTCCTGCCTGGGTTGCACTGCCCACCCTCCCCACTTCCTGGACTCCAGAGCTTTTCGTCCCCACGACTGGACTACTGCACTTCCCATCATCCACTGACCAGCAGTACCAGAAAGCCTGCGGCTCCCATCATCCCCAGTGTCAGGGGGCGGATAGGCCTCTTGTTTGAATGGCACGGCCATGAGGACTACAACTCCCACCCCCGACCCAGCTCCTTGTCTGAGTTCACACAGGGTCCTTGCTGAAATTAAAAGAATAACTGAGTTGGAAGGGGCCCTGGAGGCCATCTAGTCCAACCCCTGCTCAAGCAGGAGCCCCTATTGCAGGGGTGTCCAAGCTTGGCCACTTTTAAGACTTGTGGTCTTCAATTCCCAGAATTCCCCAGGCAGCCATTCATGGCTGGGAGTTGAAGCCCACAAGTCTTAAATTAATGACCAAGACTGGACACCCCTGCCCTATAGCCTTCCCACTCCAGACAAATGGCTGCCCAGTCTCCCCTTAAAACCTCCAATGACGGAGCACTCACCACTTCCGAAGATTAAAGTCATCCTTGTCTTTTCTCCTTAAGATTTTGCAGAGAGGACAATGCCAGCCCCGGAGCACAATGGCCTAAATGCCTTTTTTCCACCTGTGAGTAGGGGAGGCAGGGGCGGCACACAGACCCAGCACTGACCTCCTCCCCCGTCCCCCCAGTCCAAACCAGTGAGATTTCTCTCCCTCCAGATGTTTGAAACCATCTGTTCTCCTGTATAAAGATGTAGCTGATGGGCCTGGAGAAGAAGCTCCTGGAAGCAGCCCGCCAAGGCCAGGATGAGGAAACCAGGCTACTGATGGCTAACGGAGCCCCCTTCATCACGGTCTGGGTAAGTCCAGGGTGGAAAAGCTGGGGAAGTGGGGAGGAAGGGAAGGCAGGGACAGCAGAACTGTGCATTTTAGGAGATAAGATGGAAAGAGGCTCCCCTCAAGCGGAATGCTCCCTCTATGGAAGAAGGGAACGAAGAAGAAGAAGCTTTAAATAAACAAGCTTTAGAATAATACAACTTTCCCTTCGTAAATGAGGGAAGAAACAAAGCCTTAACTTTCTTGCAAATTGCTTGTGCTTTATTTCCACCAAGAAGTCAAGACACTTTCTTTTCTTTTCTTTTTTTTTTAAAAAGCAAAACCTCGTCACGTTGCGTGCAAATTGCCCACTGCTTAAATAGTTTGCTGGCGTGAGCTGCGTTAACCCAGATTTATGCCACGCAGACCGCTATTTTCAACACGCCCTGTTTGCTGGGTGTCAAAATGTGGAGTTTGTGGTCTGGTTTGTTAACAGACCCCAGCAAGGTAGACCAACGCAAGGAGGGCTGGGCATTGTAGTTCAGCCACCTCTGAAGACCCAGCCCAGCGTAGAGGGGCGCAGAGGGGAGGGGTCCGCCTCCATCTCTCTCAGGATTTGGCAACTTTTAAGACCTGTGGGTTTTATCGTGGTTGGTTGGGGGATTGTGGGAGTTGAGTTGGGATCCTTGCAGCCTTCCAGGACGGCCCATTCACGATGGTGAGTGTGCCAGTGGGGAAGGAGGGAGACTGGAGTCACAAGGCAGCTGCTCTGGAGAACCCGCCCTGTTTTATTATAGACCCCCGTCCACCTTTGCCCAGGGGTCTCCAAATGAAAAGTTGTGCCTTGTTGGTCCTTAACGAGGCAGGACTCGCACGGGGTGCGCTTCCCCACAACGCCCTTGTCTCTTGCCAGCCGTAAGTGTTGCCCCCTCTTTTATGGGGGTAAAATATTCCCCAGACGTCCAATAAATCCTGCTTTTCAAATAGGTCTATGTACAGGTGTGTTTGTTTAGGAAACACAAAGGTCTTTTAGAGGTTAGACTGCCCCCGTGCGTGGAGCTTCCACCAAGGCCTCCGTACCCCAGCTTGGGCCGGCCATCTCCACTGAGGTCATCCTCCTTCCCCCCCCCCTCAGGCCAGGCGGTAGTCCAGCATGTCTTTCTCCACGTAGTCGCTCCAGGTGGAGGAGGCCATGCTCCGATAGGGGTCCAGGAGGATCCGGAAGCAACGGACGATCAGCACCGCCAGGAAGACGAAGAGGAAGAAGAGGAAGAGGAAGGTGACCTTCTGCTCCAGGGAGAGGGTGGGATCGGGCCGGAGGGCGCTGGCCAGGGCGGGCAAGGAGCTGCCCAGGTTGGTGGCCATGAGGACCAGCGCCCCAGCGAGCAAGTGGCCGGCTGTCCGCAGCACCACCTGGAAAGGGGACAGAGACCCTGTTAGCAGGGGGTGGTCTCTGCACCAGGAAATAAGAGTAGCCCACGGCGAGAAAGGCGGCAAAATTTAAATCTAACAAATACATTTAAAAAATCAATGCGGGGTGGGGTCTCTCCCTGGCCTGGGAGCCTTTTAAAAAATTCCCTTTTCATTGCAACCCTCTAAGATGGACCTCCGTTTTGGGTGCTCCGATCCCCAGCCTGCCGGGAGGGTGAGTTTGGGAAGGGCTCTCGGTTGCTTCACTCCAGGGGAAAATACTTTATTTTAAAACTCGTTCAACACTGCTCTAAAATGAAAAAAAAATCCTTTTGCAGAAGGGCTGAACAAGGAGCACATTGAGAATGCAGCATTGAACTGCAAACAGAATGGCATTTTTAAGGCTGGGGGAGGGGAAGAGGCAGATGGGGCATGCCCACCTGGGGGGGGGAACCCCACAACTGTCACTGACGTGGGACCCAAAGGGGGAGATCTCACCTGGAGAAAAACGGAGCCAATCTCTAGCAACGCATCGCCGCCAGCCAGGCAGACGGCCCCCTTCTTCGCCCAGCCGTTCCAGGAAATCAAGGCTGGGTGGGATTAGCACGGCAGCCGTTGCCGGAGGTTTCCTGCATCTTCCTCACTGATGGACAGCAGCATACGGAGGCAGGGAGCAGTGGAATTCACCCTGGGTGGGACCAGGACTGGGGAGGGAGTCCTGGGGAGGGCAGGGGGTCCCCTCTTTGCCGGTGGCGGGAGCAGCTTCCTCCGGTGCCCACGCGTCTCTGGCCAAAGCGCCCAAGATGCTTCATAG